CCCACCCGCCCCCAAACAAAACACAACCAACAAACGTGTCTGGTCCAGAAATATTTACTTAAATAAACTTTCTTCACTCTTCCTTAATACGATATTTCCGTGTTTCTGTCTTTCTAGCTATACATCTTAACCTTTTTTTGTATTTTCCACAATACATTATTTCAAACGTTTTCATTAACAGTTTTTCGCGTTTCCTACAAAACATTATTTCTAGCGTTTTCAATAATACTTTACCCCGATTAACTACTTACTTTTACGTTTATCCTGCCGCTTACACCCTTTTGGGTGTCGCGGGAAGAAAGAGACGTCTCTCTGTCGTTTACCTACAATACGTTTATTCGTTTTTCCATTTTGTAGGGACCCGTAGGAGAGTCTGGACGTGACGGAGAGATGGGACCCCCAGGAGAGTCCGGTCCCGAGGGACCCCCAGGACCTAGTGGACAATCTGGAGCCGCCAGCGAGCGCGGAGAGCCCGGACCCCCCGGAGCCCCCGGAGAGGCTGGAGCCCCAGGAGCCCCAGGAAGAGACGGAAACGCCGGACCCCCAGGACCCGCTGGACCCGCCGGACCTCAGGTTAGCCACTCGTGATCCGGGTTGTTGATTTTGTTTTCCAAGAAAAAGAAGCTGGTTGTTTGATTTTGTTTAATTCTTTTCCAAGGATAAGAGGTGAACTATTTGATAGTGTTTCCACGAAAGCGTTAAATAATATCCTATTCCAAGAAAAAGAAGTTAAATATTAAATTGATTTTTCCCCAAGAAAAAGTAAAACATTTGAGCTTGTTTTTCAAAATAATGGGAAATATTTGACTTCCGCCCTTCTCTGTGCGTGAGGTTTCTCCACAGAGGCCAGTAGAAAAGGGAAAAAGGTGGCTTGCTACTGTTACAATTTTAATTGTTTGAGAATATTATTTGTCAAACAATTTGTCCAAGACAAAGAATATCTAACGGCAAAACGACATTTCTAGACCATTCCCCTTTTTTGTAAAAGTGATTTTTATCAATTGAAATGGTCAGTTCTGATACGCCACACACTTGTTGAAGGTATTATCATTACATTTCATTTATTATGAAATTCTACTTCCGTCCTTGTGCAGGGAGTTCCCGGAGAGGCTGGAGGCCAAGGAGAGGATGGACGTGCTGGACCTAGAGTGAGTCTACCTTTGTGTTTTTGTGTGTTTGCTTTTGTGCTTGTGTGGCGAGAGAGAAAAAAAAAAAAGAGAGAGAGAGAGAGAGAGAGAGAGAGAGAGAGAGAGAGAAAGAGAGAGAACGAGAGACGGACAGATAGACAGATAGCAACTGAGAGAGTGAGTGAGAGATATTGAATATAATTCTATTCGTGTGCTTGCAAAATATGTATGTATAATGTATCTGTATGTGCGTGTATGTGTATGTGTGTGTGGTTTTTAAAACAAGCTTTTTTCTGAAAATAGGAGTCGAACGAACACGTTTACTCACCTGGTTTCTCTAATACATGCTTTCTCTTTCTCTCCCAGGGAGACACTGGACCCCGTGGATACGCCGGCGAGCCCGGACCTGCTGGAGAGGATGTAAGTAGACTTAGCCCGTGTTGTATCTCTATGCTCGTTCCTAAGTGCGAATGTAAAGCAAAATATTTACCTGTCTCTTCGGAGGAAACACATTCTATCTGTAAAAAGTAACAACGCACAGTCTGGCATCCACAAACCGAACATTTGCGCAAACCTTGAGTTGACTATTGCTAACACGTCATGTGCACAGCATTAAAAGACGGTTTCTTTGTAATAAAACTGGATGAAAAAAAAATCAAATCATAATTTATGTAAGTTGAAAAATTCAAGCAAACTCACAGTAAACGTTCTCTGTTCTCCTAACTGTGCAGGGTCGCCCAGGAAGCGATGGACCCAAGGGTAACGATGGAGAGCCAGGTGCCCCCGGAGAGGCTGGACAGCCCGGACAACCAGGACTTTCTGGACCCCAGGGACTGCCAGGACCCCAAGGATCTGCTGGAAGCCCAGGACCCTCTGGCGCCCAGGGAGAGAGAGTAAGTGACCCATTGTTAACTCTTTGACGACGAGCTTTCAGGTCATTCGACATTGCTTAAAGACACACTTCTATATGTATTAAAGAAAGAAGCTCACTTCTGTTATTGAAACCAATTTTATAGATATTGATTTCTTTATAAAACAACTAAAACAACTGATCTAATGCTTAAAAGGGCGGATAATAACATGCGTACGAAGCAACATGAAAATGCGTGGTGTTTCTGATCTGTCTGTAATGGGTGGAATGGTACCTCAAGAATCTTCGATTTCAAGAAATAGAAACGCCTCAACGAAAAGGAGCACACCATCCATACAGTGCCCAACTGTCGCCAAAACATGCTTTCTTTTCAAAACAATGGAACATGCAGATGACCATGCCACGTGACTGTGTTCTGACCAGACGATTCTATTTCTTTCCAGGGATCTCCAGGACAGACCGGACCCCCAGGACCTTCCGGTGAGGATGGTCGCCCAGGAGCCCCAGGAAACGATGGACTTCCAGGAGAGAGAGGAAGCTCTGGACTCCCCGTAAGTGATCAGTGACGCTATAAATTGCCATACTTATTGATGCTATAAATACTACTGTTTGGGTTTATAGGAGAGAGGGAAAAAAGGAACAGGGTGAGATAGATAGAGGTAGAGAAAAGGAGAGAGTGAGAGAAAGAGGAAAAAGGGGAAGCAAAGAGATAGATAGATAGATAGATAGATAGATAGATAGATAGATAGATAGATAGATAGAAAAAGAGAGACAATCACAGAGAGAGAAAGAGAGAGAAAAGAGAGAGAGAGAAAGAGAGAGAGAGAGAGAGAGAGAGAGAAGGGGGGAGAGGGAGGGAGAGAGAGATGAATAGATTGATAGATAGAAAAAGAGAGACAAGCACAGAGAGAGAAAGAGAGAGAAAAGAGAGAGAGAGAGAGAGAGAGAGAGAGAGAGAGAGAGAGAAAGAGAGAGAGAAAGAGAAGAGAGAGATAGAAAGAGAGAGAGCAAGCGATTGAGGCTGTTTGCATGCCCATGTTTACCCAACTATGTACACGAAAGACCCTGATCTATCCACTGTGTACCCCCAGGGACCCTCTGGACCTTCCGGCCCCGTCGGACCCCAAGGAGAGAGAGGTTCCCCAGGATTCTCTGGTGCCCAAGGAGAGCCAGGACCCGCTGGACCCGTCGGAGAGATGGTGAGTAGCCAAGGACTTGTGTCTACTAGAATCTATCTATTATCATCTCATTGGAGACGCGCATTCTAATCATTTGGCACCGCTTGAAGACACTCTGTTTTAGGGAACGTTAAAAAAGAAACATAATTTCGTTCTTCATACAGATTTTTAAATTCTATTTTCTTTATCCTAAACTTGATTTTTAAAAAACATAAGCAAAACACACAATTCAGCTTTCGCAATGACTGTTCCAAAACCGCCTGAATGCTACTAGTGACAAATACTACTTTGAAGGAAGGAGAGAAACAACAATTTTTTTACTTGTCAAAAATGTAACTGTTTAGGACAAAGGTTTCATGCATTAAATCTGCGCTGCTGGCTTTGAATGACTTGGAACTCAAGCCTCAACTCGTTCAAACGCCGTCCAACTCTAACTCCACCTAACTCCACCTAACTCCACCTAACTCCACCTAACTCCACCTAACTCCACCACAGGGTGAGCCCGGAGTCTCTGGAAGAGACGGAAGCGATGGACCCGTCGGACCCCCAGGAGCCCCAGGATCTGCTGGACCCGCTGGATTCCCAGGAGAGCCCGGATACCCCGTGAGTTATTGACATTGACATTATTATTATTATTATTATTATCATTATAAAGTACAGGGCAACAAGATAACAAACTCCAGCAAATCCCAATTAATGACAATGTGTTTAAAGTTTATGCTTATGGTATGAACCATTCTTTTCTACTCAGTTTGATGTTCACTATTTTCTACAAATATGTAAAATTGGAGTGAGTTTATGTGGATTTATAGAAAAATTTGAGATGCTGAAAAAAAATGGATAACTAAATTTGCTACGTACACACATCCTTCAATATACCAAGAGTTGAAAAATACAAGTATTATAAGACATCTGAGTAGATTTCTACCTAAGTTAATGATGTTAAAACATTGAATGACACAATTATTGGCTGAGTTCAAACGTGGAATAGCCTTCGTTACCCCCAGAGTTAACAGCGGATTTCAAGCGTTCTTTAACCACCCCCCCCCTGCTACAAATGTACCTGTGTACCAAGAGATTACAAAAGATTTCACGTGTCCTTTAACCCCTCACACCCCCAGGGCGAGAGAGGACTCAACGGCGCTGCTGGAGTGCAGGGAAGAGCTGGCGAGAAGGGATCTCGTGGACGCTCTGGACCCCCAGGACCACCAGGAGCTGTCGGTGCCCCAGGAGGCCCCGGAGCTACCGGACCCGCTGGAGCCCAGGGAGAGAGAGGCGAGAGAGTGAGTAGTCACGTGATAAAACATTATGTCTAGAACATTTTCTTGTGTTATAGTTTACAGAGAGCCTAATTACAGTCGGGTAAAATAGGCTTTTAACTCTTTCTATGCCAGGAATTATTAGAATGACTGTTTTAAGGCGTAAAGAATAGCAGCAATTTACTAATCCCACCACGACTTGTCCTATTTAAAACTTTTACAGACTTCGCTTGTTTGTAACTTGATTTAATGTTCTAACAATACAGTTTTAAATGACGTATAGCTGGTTTTCCCCCCCACATAATTGATTTCATAGGGATATTCTAAAAATACTTTTGTGAGTTATTAGCAAATACACTAAGCTTTTGTTGCTGTTAGAATCAACTTTTCCTGTTTCTTCCCTCCACCCCTTTCATTCAATTCTTCTTATAAAAAAATGTAAGTTAGGAAACTTTGATTTGGTCTGACCTAATTGGATTGTTTTTGGTCTCCCTGTCTAGGGTGACCGTGGTTCCCCAGGACCCGCTGGACTTACCGGAAGTGTTGGAGCCGCCGTAAGTATTTTTTTTGGGGTTTTCTCTCCCTCCCTCCCTCCCTCCCTCCCCCCTCTCTCTCTCTCACTTTCTCTCTCTCTCTCTCTCTCTCTCTCTCTCTCTCTCTCTCTCTCTCTCTCTCTCTCTCTCTCTCTCCCTCTTTCATTTCCTCTCTCTCTGCATATCTATTATTTTCTCTCTTATTTTCCTTTCTGCCTTTGTTTTATCTGCCTCTCTCTGTCTCTCTCTATCTTTCACGCTTCTCTCTCTTTTTCTGTCTCTGTTTCTCTCTGTCTCTGTCTCTGTCTCTGTCTCTCTGTCTCTTTCTGTATTTGTGTTTCTGTCTCTCTTTATCTCGCACTTTCTCCCTCTCTCTCTTTCTTATATTTTCTCTTTCTCTCCCTTTCTCTCTCTCTCTCTCTCTCTCTTTCTCTCTCTCTCTCTCTCTCTCTCTCTCTCTCTCTCTCTCTCTCTCTGTCTGTCTGTCTGTCTGTCTGTCTGTCTCTCTCTCCCTACCTCATTCTCCCTTTTCTCCTTCTCCCCTTCTCTTTTCTCTCATTCTCTTTTCTCTCATGTAGTTCTCATTCTCTCTGTTTATTTCTCTCTTTTTTCGTCTTTCTTCCTCTCTTTACCTTTCTCTCTCTCGGTTTCTCTCTCTCTCTCTCTCTCTCACTCTCTCTCTCTCTCTCTCTTCCTCTCTCTCTCTCTCTCTCTATATATATATATATCTCTCTCTCTCTCTCTATCTCCATGCAATTCTCCACCGCCCATTGGCTGTGCTCTTCGACTAGTCCTGTATTCTGTGCTGTGTTTGTCATTTGACAGGGTGTGCAAGGACCCCAAGGAGAGACTGGACGTCGCGGAAAGAACGGCGCCAAGGGAGATAAGGGATGGCCCGGACGTCCCGGTGGTCAAGGACTCCCCGGACCCCAGGTGAGTCGTCACTTCGTCTCATTATGATTTTACGAAGTATTTTACGGCACTTTGCAAAGCGACAATATCACATAAGGGGAACTCGGGTTGAATACTAACCACGTTTACATGATTGCTGAAAAAAAAGTCGTTAACTAAAAGATTCATGGCAACATTTTTTCCCCTCAAAGTGCGAGTCTGTAGTTCAGGAGATATCACATTTGACAGTGGGGGTTGCATACAATCGTGGTTCAAATCCTCATGAGGAACTTGAATTGAATGATTAGTTTTCATATTGTCTTTAGATAACGCCTTTGACTTAAAACGATAATATATCAGACTTAAGCCGATAATATCTTTGACTTTAGCCAAATATGTCTTTTTGACTTAAACATTCACCGCAATCTGTTTTGTTCCCAACCAGGGAGGCAACGGAGAGCCTGGTCTGCCCGGACCCCCAGGACCCGCTGGACAAAGTGTAAGTACTGAGGCTTCTGCCAACACAACACAGTCTTTGTGGTGAGCGCTGTCTGGCAAGCGCGCACCTCACTTCTCGCTGCTCTCCTTTTACCCTGGGACTATATTTCCCTCTCTCTCTCTCTCTCT